GCGGTGGGGCACGTGGGGCTACCAAAAACCGTTTCCCTTAAAGGTGCCAGGGAAGCAAACTGCTCCAAATATATATATATACATCTAGTATAATGTATATAGATTCAGGCGTGGGCAATTTTGGGCCCCGGCTTTTAGGACAGCACTCGAAGGACATGCAGCGGCCGCAATTTAGCTAAAAGAGGCCACAACAACAACAAAAACAACTAAAAGAGAAGAAAAGCAAAATTACTAGCGAAAATTCTTCATGCAATTTATTAATGGAATTTTTATGTTGCACTTTATGCATTTTCTTCGCTTTTGCTGTTGTCCTTTTCTTCTTTCTTTTATTTTTGTTATTAATTTTCTGTAAGCATTTCCCAAATTTGTGGCCAGGAAATGAGGCAACCCGAAAGAAAAAAGAGCAAAGCAAAGAAGAGCAACCAACGAAAGAAAGGAAAAAAAGGAAAAGCAAAAAAGGTTTCCCACTTCTGGCCCCTTACCTCGTTGTCGAGCATCGACGGCGGCGACTTTGTGTACGACTAACCCACATCAATTTAAGTTAAATCCCAAAAACTATTATCATTTTAATCAAATCAAGCCGCAGGGCAACAGCTACAACAAAAAGCAGAAAGCAATACACCCAGGAATACAGGCAGCAGTAAAAGGGAGAAAGGGTGGGGAAGTGAGAAAATAAAACGAATAAGACTGAAAACAACAGACGCGACTAGCTGAAGTTCCTGTAGATGAACAATAGAAACTAGAAACTCAATGCGTACAACTAAAAATGTTGAGAGATAATACTGAAATGAATACAAATGCAATGTTTATAAAACAATTTGTCTACATATGTATATACAATATAAATCTAATTTATAGTAGTATTACAGTGAAGCTCTGAGGTTTTCAATGGTGTGATGACATCATTGATGCTCTATATATAGTCTAGTAATGAGCTCTACCGAACAAGGTTCCTTGTAAAATAAATTCAATTAGGCCAAGCTGTATTTAATGTTTGTTTATAAGTATAATAGATAATTATGTGTATTATATATTATTAAATATATACTATTTTTTATATGTATATTTTGTTTTTTATATTTATATACTATATATAGTTTTTATAAGATAAAAAGAATTTTTAATTCCTTAATTAAATAATCTGAAATATACATTTTTCTTAATGTAAACTTTACTTTCTGTATTTATTTATACATTATATAGTTTATATATGAAATAATACTTATTTTTTAGAATTATTATATTGTTTCATTACATTTTTTTTTTTTACAATAAAAATATATATACTTTTTATGGTCAGTTTTTAAGCACTTTTAAAATATTATATATTATATATTAATTTTATATATAATGGAATACATTTTAGTACTAGTATATATATAAATTTATTTTATTTTTTATGTTTCAAGTATAGACATTTATATATTAGGTAATATTTTTAGATAATTTTTTTATTGTTATATTAGTTAACATTTTTAGATAATTTTTTTTTTGTTATATTAAGTAACATTTTTAGATCTTTTTGTTTTTTTTTTTTTAATATATGTATATATATTTATAGTTTTTATATATTCAACATAAAACTTTCTAGCTTCTTTTACCAAACTCGTATGGCTAAATCAATAGAATTTTATTCCGAATAGTTATATTTTAACTTTTTGTTTATTTACCCCTATTTACCCGACGCCTTTTCCTATTTACCTTTATCTACTCTGTGTCTATGGGGACAAATCTTCTGACTGTTAAATAATTCATTGAGTTAAGACATTAAAAAAGGGTCAACTTCGATGAGCAAGTGTTGGTAAACAGTTACTCTTGTAGCTGTTTTAATCTTCCAGTGAAATGAAGCAATCAAGAATAACAAACGGATTTACACATTGAGATTGATTCTTCGCTAAGCTTAATATAAGCTGAATTTTGTGTTCTATGAATAAACTTTGCCACTATCATCACGGTATTTTGCAACACTGATTTCGCTTTAAGGCACAAGCATAAACTTGACTTGTGAAAAAGGGAGTTAAAAAAAAAAAAAACAAAATAGTGAAAACAACATTTGATGTTTGTATACAGGGTATATAGTAAAAAAATTGTAGGGCAACAGGAAATGAGACAGCGAGGAGCACAAGCCAACAACAACGACGACGAGAAGAAGAGCAAACAAAACGAGTAAAGTAAAGAAATGAAACAAAAAATAAGTGACCGAGGCAGGAGAAAGTCAGCTGCTGTGCCAGCACTCAGCCACTGACAGGACGACGTTAACTAGGCGAAAATGGTGGGCAGCAGCAGCAGGAGCTGGAGGGAGATTGTGGCAGGATGAAGCAGGCGACGGCTCGTTAAAAGCAAACCAGCAAGGTGAGAGCCCAAGCCAAGCAGCAGGAAGATGCGTGGGAGGCAAAAACGCAATGCAGTTGCTTTTTTTTTTCCCCAATTTCTTTTTATGATATTTTGCTTTAGCTTAAACATTTGTCGGAGCGTGTTGCATACTTTATGGCAGCGTGGCTGTTAATGAAGCAGGAAATATGCGTCAGCATCAATATGGCAAGTGCAGCAGAAGGGCAGAGAGGGGTGGAGGAGATGGCAGCATGTTAAAGACAAGTCGAAGCGAGTCCAAGCTGGAGCAGCTGCAACTGCTGCAGTTGGGTTAGATAAGCGACGTATGCAGATAATAGATAAGTGCGCCAGGTAAAGCAACTTGACATACAACACGGACATGAACAGGAACCGGAGCAGGAGCAGCCAGAGCAGTAGCTGTAGAAGCTTTGGGGGAGCATCAGCTCAAAAGGGGGGCACAGCCCCGTCAAGTGTGTGTATGCATATGAAATTGATTGCAGCTGCTGCTGATTGCCAGCCAAGCAGCATTAGCTGCGATTACAGCCAACAGCCAAAGAATAATCAATTGCAGTTGAAATTCCACTTTAAGAATGTCCCTAGAGATTTCAAGTGGCTTATATAATTGACTAACAAGTTATAATATCAAAGTGCTCCTAGAGTCCATAAATCCTCATCTTATGTGCAATCATTTTTAATAATCAAACTATTTAAGATAATGAAATTGAAATAAATTAATAACTTGATATTTCAATAAATAAATATTAATTTACAAAAAAAAAAAAAAAAAAAAAAAAATAAATTTAAAAAAAAAAAAAAAAAATTAAAAAAAAAAAAAAAAAAAAAAAAATAGTTGAAGTAAATTATTATTATCATTTTTCATGTTTATTAAACAAACTTTCTTTAGTTACATAATTAAATAAATATATAATATATAATATATTTTATATATTATATATATGTATTATATATTATATATTATATATTATATATTATATATTATATATTATATATTATATATTAT